CATCACAGCTCATAGCAACTTCCAACTCATGGGTTCAAGCGATTCTCCTGCCTCCACCTCCCAAGTAACTGGGACTACCAGCACCTGCCACAGTGCCCAGCTATTTTTTGGTTGCAGCCATCATTGTTTGGTGGACTCGGGCTGGATTCGAACCTGCCAGCTCAGGTGTATGTGGCTGGTGCCTTAGCCCATTGAGCCGAACCAGGCCCAGCTATTTTTTCTTGCAGTTTGGCTGGGGCCAGGTTTAAACCTGCCACACTTGGTATATGGGGCCAGTGCCCTACTCACTGAGCCACAGGCACCACCCTTTTTTTTTTAGACAGAACCTCAAGCTATCGCCCAGGGTAGAGTGCTCTGGCGTCATAGCTTAGAGCAACCTCAAACTCCTGGGCTTAAGCAATTCTCTTGCCTCAGCCTCCCGAGTAGCTGGGACTACAGGCACCCACCACACGCCCAGCTCTTTTTTTGGTTGTAGTTGTCATTATTTGGTGGGCCCAGGCCAGTTTTGAACCCGCCAGCTCTGGTGTACGTGGCTGGCGCCTTTGCAGCTTGAGCTACAGGGGCTTAGCCTTTTTTTTTGAGACAGAGTCTCACTATGTTGCCCTCAGTAGAGTGCTGTGGTGTCACAGCTCACAGCAACCTCAAACTTCTGGGCTTAAGCGATTCTCTTGCCTCAACCTCCCCAGTAACTGGGACTACAGGCACCTGCGTAGTTGCCTGCCATAATGCCTGGCTATTTTTTTTGTTGTTGCCATTGTCATTGTTGTTTAGCTTGCCTGGGCTGGGTTTGAATCTGCCACCCTCATTGTATGTGGCCTGCGCCATAACCACTGTGCTACCGGTGCCAAGCCTGGCTTTGTATTTTCAAAGGATACTTTGTGAATATTGGCTTTCACTTACTACTGGTAGCTCTTTGGTGGGATCGCAAATTCAGGTGGTTAAGAGGGCCTGGAGAGCTGGAAGAAATTGCCTTCGGACACCAGGGTGTTTGGGGAAAATGGTCTTACTCAGGGGCTGAGGGTTCTTCGAACCCAGTGGCACTCTATTCAAGGGGTGGGGTAGCCTGTCCCCACTAGTAAAGGTCATGGTGACAATGCAGCCCATCCTGGTGCAGGAGGGGGGGCATCCCACTTCTGGAGACTGGGGCAGACGAGGGTTGTGGCACTTTCCGCCTTGCCTTTCTTCCCCTTTCCAGGAGCCGAGGTGATGGCAGTGGAGTCTGGCTTCTCATTGTGCCCCAGGCTCCTGGCCCCAGCAACTTTCCTAGAAGCTGACCTGTGGGTAGGGATCCCTGAGTCCTTGCCTTCCCCAGAGCCTCGCTGGGTCAGCAGATGAGGGAATGCTGGGCGAATCCCCATCCGCCGATGACACATTGCCCCAGGCTTCTTGATGGTGGAGCCCTCTACCAGGAGCCGGATACCCACATATTGGGGTACCTCCACAGCAGGCTGTGGACAAGAAGAGACAAGGCCTGCTCAGACTGTGGTGCTGGAATTCTTAGCCTAGCAGGACCTAAGACAGAGATAGATGGAATTAATTTCCCAGGCATCTGGTCAAGACATATTTCTGGGCTGAGAAATGGGAAGCCCACCTCTGCTGTCTTAAGGGGTTTGATCCTGCAGGCCTGGATCAATATCTAGAGCAGTGCTTCTCAACCTTCCTAATGTGACGACCCTTTAATATAGTTCCTCATTTTGTGGTGACCCCCAACCAGAAAATTATTTTCGTTGCTACTTCATAACTGTAATTTTGCTACTGTTATGAATCGTAACGTAAATGTCTGATATGCAGGAGGATCTTAGGCGACCCCTGTGAAAGGGTTGTTCAACCCCCAAAGGAGTCGCAACCCACAGTTTGAGAACCACTGATCTAGAGAGTCCCAGAGCCCCAGAGATTGGCAACCACAGGAGAAGGGGAATCCTAGCTATGCCCCCACCAGCACCCCTCCACATCACTGCCCTCCTAGCGCCCCTGCCCCTGCTGGAATGTATGTGGCTCCACTTCCTAGGCTACCTTGGGTGGGCAGCTTCTAGAGCTGAGCCAGATTCTCTGCATGGAGAATTTGAGTTATGACACCCAGACAAAGGCTTGGAGCCTGCCAAGTTATGGGAGAGCAGGAACTAAGAACCTTAAAGAAGATAGGCTGAGCATGGTGGCTCATGCCTGTAATCCTAGCACTCTGGGAGGCCAACACAGGTGGCTTGCTTGAGCTCAGGAGTTCAAGACCAGCTTGAGCAAGAGCAAGAACCATCTACTAAAAATCTAAAAACTAGCCCGCTGTAGTGGTTGGTGCCTATAGTCCCAGCTACTTGGGAGGCTGAGGCAAGAGGATCACTTGAGCCCAAGAGTTTGAGGTTGCAGGCTGGGCGCAGTGACTCATGCCTATAATCCTGCACTTTGAGATGCTGAGTTGGACGGATAGCTGAAGGTCAGAAGTTAGAGACCAGCTTGATCAAGAGCAAGACCCTGTCTCTAAAAACTAGCTGCAAAAAAAAAAAGGGCAGCACCTATGGCTCAAAGGAGTAGGGCGCTGGCCCCATATACCAGAGGTGGCAGGTTCAAACCCAGCCCTGGCCAAAAACTGCAAAAAAATTAATAAATAAATAAAAAATAAACTAGCTGTAGCTCAGCGCCTGTAGTTCAGTGGTTAGAGCTCCAGCCACAAACACCAGAGATGGCTGGTTCCAACCTGGCCTGGGCCTGCTAAACAACAATAACAACTATAACAAAAAAAGGGCCAAGTGTTGTGGTGGGCACCTGTAGTCCCAGCTACTTGGGAGGCTGAGGCAAGAGAATTGCTTAAGCCCAAGAGTTGGAGGTTGATGTGATCTGTGATGCCGTGGTACTCAAACAAGGGTGACATAGTAAGACTCTGTCTCAAAAAAATAAAATAAAGACTAGCTGGGCATTGTGGCGGGAGCCTGTAGTCCCAGCTACTTGGAAGGCTGAGGCAAGAGGATCACTTGAGCCCAGGAGTCAGAAGTTCCTGTAAGCTATGAAGCCACAGCATTCTACCGAGGGCAACATAGTAAGACTCTGTCTCAAAAAATGATAATAATAAATATAAACAAAATAAGAAATTTAAGGAAGACAGTCTATGAAGAGAACTCAGTAGCAAGTAAGCAGAGGAAGGCAGAGTTAAGGGTCCAGCAGAGGCGCTTCCTTATAGCGTTCAGTTCCTGCTAAGCCAAGCTATACTCCTTGTGGCTGGGCCTCAGGAGACCTCCTCTGTACCTTGCTAACAACTTGGCACTAGTGTGAAGTATTTTCTGTGTCATTAAAGAATCCTGATTAGAACCTAGCTAAACAGCAGAACCATGTGGAACTTGGTAAAAATACAGTTGTCACTTAGGAGGCTGATGGAAGAGGACTGTTTGAGCCCAGGAGTAAGAGGCTACAGGAGCTATGATTGTGCTGCAGCACTACAGCCTGGGTGACAGAACTACCAGAGCTCCTCAGTAGCCCTCAAGATAATGAGGGAAAGCTCATCTTTACAGAAGAAATCTCAGCTAATAGATGTACAATGAACGATAGAATGATTAAACATTTATCATTTTGCAACTCTAATAAAATAGGCAAGAGTCAAAACCAGATATCAAAATAACTAAGTGAAAAGGATAACAGGAAAAGGTGTAATTTGCATACTATCAAAGCATCACCTTACAGAGTAATGAACTATTGTAAAAGGGCCAGGCAAGGATCACTTGAGCCCAAGAGTTTGAGGTTGCAGGCTGGGCGCCTGTGTCTCAGTGGGTAGGCCTCCAGCCCCATATACTGAGGGTGGCGGGTTCAATCCTGGCCCTGGCCAAACTGCAACAAAAAAATAGCTGGGCATTGTGGCGGGCACCTGTAGTCCCAGCTACTCAGGAGGCTGAGGCAAGTGAATCTCCTAAGCCCAGGAGTTGGAGGTTGCTATGAGCTGTTTGACACTCTACCAAGGGCGATAAAGTGAGACTCTGTCTCTAAAAAAAAAAAAAGCCAGGCATTGTGGTGTAGTCCCAGCTACTTGGGAGGCTGAGGCAAGAGAATTGCTTGAGCCCAAGAACCTGAGGTTGCTGTGAGCTATGATGCCACAGCACTCTACCAAGGGTGACAAAATAAGACTCTGCCTCAAAATAAATAAATAAATAAATAAAAGTAAATAAAGCAAGCATGATGGTGAGCATCTGTAGTGTTAGGTACTTGAAAGGCTGAGATGGGATGATTACTTAAGCCCTGGAGTTCAGAGTTACAGTGACCTATCATTTGGACTACTGTACTCCAGCCTGGGTGACTGAGTAAGACCCTGTCTCTTAAAAATATAATTCCAAAGAACAGTATATAGCTCAAATGGAGGGACCTGGCAGCCCACACCTTCAGTGCATGGTCAAACTCTGTATTACTAATTGTGAGACACTGACGGTATGAGCCCTGTGATGCCACATGAGGTGCTGGGCATCACCCCTGAAGTGTTCTTGCCAAATGTTTCTAACCTGATGCTCATCAAGCTGTTTGACCTAAATTCTAGTTTATGGGACATTCTGAAAACAGAAGACTGAGTTGAATAACACCACAAAGCAACAATCAGATACATTCAGAATGTGGGACAGTTCTATAAAACCACCAGCCTAGTCCCTTCAAAAGATCAAAACAACGGGGGAGGGGGGGGAGACAGTGGGCCTGGCCTAGATTATAAGAGATGAAAGAGACAATAAAACCAATGCAAGATGTGAGCCTTGATTACATGCTGGCCTAAAAACAAGAACAAATCAGCAAGACACTCCGGGGACAAAAGGACATTTGAGAAATGAAGATACTTTAGTCCCCAAGCCAGGCATTTTGGGCCAATCTCTGCAGTGGGGCCTCCTGACATCTAGACCTTTAGAACACTTTCCAGGTGATTCTGGCCTGTAAACCAGCATTTGGGAACCACTGCACTATGATGGATGGTACCTTTTCCCTTGGGTTTATCATAATTTCCTGCCTTGTATTTCCTCATTTGCAATTTTTGAAACTAAAATGTCATTGCATTAATTTATGATCAGTTAACTGTGACAAAGTCAAGGCCTCTTAGGTCATGTGATCTGCACATTCTCTCCCTTGTAGCCAAACCTGAGAGAAGCCAAATCCTAATAGAAGTCACTTAAACTGTCACCCTGGGTAGATTGCCCTGGTATCATATCTCACAGCAACCTCAAACTCCTGAGTTCGAACGATCTTCTTGCCTCAGCCTCCTTTTTTTGAGGCAAGGTCTCAGCTCTAATCTGGACTAGATTGCTCACTGTAATCTCAAACTCCTGGGGTCAGGCGATCCTCCTGCCTCAGCCTTGTGAGTATCTGGGAATGTAGGTATGTACTACCACACCCAGATAATTTCTATTTTTTTTTTTTTAATAGAAATGGTCTTGCTGGCTTGGCGCCTGTGGCTC